GCGTCTGACCCATTATTGTGCACAGTTCCGTCCTTGCTCTGTTATCACACACTAATGGGCAGTTCGCTGCTCTGTATCATCTAAGCAATTAACAGCCACAAAGTGTCCCTCGACAAACCACAATGCTGCATTGACCGACTTTATCTATTTAAATCTCCTCTCTCAAGTCAATTCCTTTTGTTCTCCTAAACTGGTTTAGGAACTATTAATACAAACGTTATAAAAAATGTAATGGGGTTTTCTCCCCATAAACGTGTTCTAGAAGAAGTGTTTTGGGACTTGTATACATACCATATAAATAATGAAACACTGTTTCACTGTGTCAATGATAAAACAAACAACCTAGGTGAGTCCAAACTCGGATTTCAAACAACGGCCCTCTGCCCATTGAACTATCAGAAAAAATGGCGGTCATTGGCTATTGGGCTATATGATTTAACGGTTTGGGCTATGATTATTCATGTTTTGGACATTATGCTGAATTTCATGGTGTACAATTTCAATATGCAAGTTGTATGAGAAACACTTTGTAGGAGAAAAAACTGACGTCAAATCAAGCCGTCTTAAGTGGATTATTCTGGAATATAAAGTCATCTCCGTGAAAACAATTCATTATGTCCCGACATTTTATTTTTGGTCGAACAGTACATTTAAGAAACGTCCACGCACTCGGGCTTTAACCTCTACTTATCTAATTGCATAATAGTATCTCGGACTGATTCTACTGTCCCAAAACGTTCGCATGTGCGTCACGAGCTAGTAAGATTACGTGGGAGTATCATCAATCTATTAAGATAATATCGTTTTAGCTGAAATGGCGGTTACATTTTGAAATATCGCAAACAAATATCGTTCTATTTTTTTCAAAATATTTCATTGTTACCGTCTTCTACATATTTTACATATTTGTTACATAGTATATAGCCTGTACAATTGACAGGGTTCATCCTTATTAAGCTGATTATCATAATTGTATACACTTTTCAGGCAGTGTAATCCTAATACTGCGATGAACTGTTTATTCCTACTGACGCTGTCTTCACTGATAATGACTGCGTTAACATCACCAAGTAAGTACCATCCCCAGACAGGTGGCTTACACTTTCTCGTTAGCGTTGCCATTTTTTCGACAATTAATACCAAGCGTCTGTTCTCGTTCATCTCCTAAGGTCCAATCAATCCATTAACCGAACCACCAGGTAAGGATTACTTTAACAAAGTACTGATTTACGCCGAGCATGGTGACTGTATTAGATGTGTCAATCCTAAGTCCAAGCATCACAACCAACACGCACGCTCAGACGAATTAGTTTAATATTCGAAAAATCGAAACATGCCAGTTTGCATAGAATGGAAAGCAGGTAAACTGCACCGGAGAGCCTTTACAACCTTTTTAATGAGTGTATTCTTAGAAAAATAGATGACGTACCGATTTCCCGCATTGAAACCCATCTATGTGTAATATCTAGTTCAAGTTGATTATTAGTATGCCATACGTTGGCTCCTCTGGTTGTTTTACAATTCTTGTCAGGTAGGATTATATATGGCGTCCGCGTACTCGTCTTTTATCTCATACGTCGTATTAATACCAGGATAATTAAAACAATATTTGTACAATATTAGTACTCAGAACAATACTTTAGTCATCTGAATGAGAAGGATTGAATTGTTTTGCATTGATTCATGACTGCAAACATTTAAATTAAATTATATTATTCAACACAGTCATGAGGCTATTGTTTTCGTTTTATGTGATGTCACTAATATAGATGTAGTCATATTATAACTAATATTACTAATAATAGTATAGACTGGCAAAATCGGACTTCTTTTTTTGTTTACAAACAAAAATATAATTAATTGTCAACTTAGCCTTTTTAACATGATCGCGAAAACTAGCGTGACTGCGAAAGAAATCTTGACTGGACGCATCTGCAGGCGACCCCCTGCGTTGGAATGAAAACCGGAGCGGATCACTCCGGTGATTATGCTAATTAAAGATGTTGACTAAGCATTGCACAACAAATCTTATGTATGTTAATGTACGTGACCTTACACTTCTGAGGTCCCGGCGATTTTGAAAGACTACTTATATAGATTGGACATTTAAATCGACTTGTTTTCAATAAGCATGTATGAAAGTATCGCCTTTGCACTTAGAAAGTATCCATCTCTGCGATTGCACCTTTAAACCTTTAAAAGGTCATGTTTACTTTCACACACCCACTCATGAATAATCAATGACATCACGAATAATCAATAGCAGTCAAATGCCCGCAGATGCGTCCAGTCGGGATTTCTTTAGCAGTCAGGTTAGTTTTCGCGATAACGCTAAAAGAACTAGAAGAACAATTTTTCATTTCTTTTTGTAAAACAAAAAAAGAAGTCCCGACTTTGCAAGTTTAATAATATCATTTATAAACAATTGTCATTAAAATCATATTGCCATGACAACTGGATCCAGATAACTTCCGCTGATTTGTACATCAAGAACCCAACGCGGGCGTTTAGTTTAAATTATTTATTAATAATTTATCAATATTTATATATATATAAACTGACCAACAGATACGATGATAGGAAACGTTTTACGAAAAATAAAAAAAAAAAAAACGATAAATCTTTCCTTCCCAGTGGTGGCGTACTATACTTTGAACATATTTGCACAATCATTTGTTAACTGGCGTCTTTATTGTCATTCACAGATAACGTCAGTAGGGGCGCCATGGACGAACATAACACGTACATATTAGTCGGCGTTATCGTAGCGATCTTCATAGCCAGCGTCATTCTTATATTCTGGTGTTGGTACAAAAGCGCCAAGTCTTCGAGAAATCGCTGAGAGTGGGACCGGGGAGTGTGCAATGTGTACTATGGTGTCACAGACTTCATCGATATATTTGCATGGTAGATCAAATCGTGTGCACAAAAGTGTTACTAGTATATGCAAAAACGAAGCAATACAAATACAGAATAAGACTGGCAGACATTATTGTAAATATCGTGGTGTTAAGACGTGGAACCAGGAAGCAGACGGCTTAACATGTGTAACAAAAAGTAAAATTGAAAAAAAGAAATTCTAGTAGTAATTATTTTCCAACATTTATATTAAATACAAATCGTGTCATATACAAATTTGCATTCATAGTAGAAAGCAGAGAACTAGACAAGATAAGTTTTTAAACTATTTTCCAGCTTTTCCTATTACGTGTTCGGTATCTGCAAACATTTGGAACACAACAGACGCAATAGGCGTAATACGATTTGTTTTTGAAAACGCACCCCAACTAAGAGATTTTTACCAGTTTAAAATTTAACATGACTGATGTTTTGGTACTCCAGTCTAAGTGCGTACAATTGCTGTGCACGAATCAATTACATTAAATAAGTTAGTACAAAATAAACAACAAATCGATGACCAGTTATTGATTATTTCCATTGATGTATATGTGTTATTTTCAATAACTTACTTTATAGTTACACTTCGGAATATTTGACAATAACAGCACAGTAATCACGTTCCCTCAGGCTTTCACCCCAAGTGGCTTGACAGATGTCATTCGGGCGCCGAGGTTGGTCACATTTGCGTAATGTAAAATGTATTGAACCAATGAGCGTTATAACGCGTAATGAACATATAACCGCGACAGTGAACGCAAACGTTTGCAAAGCGAAAAAAACATCTTTCGTTGCCATTTCTCTGCATTATTTCGCATCAAAACATGCTTAAAAACAGGAAAATAAATTTACAATATTAATATTTTCACGAGCACGCTGCAAAGTGTGCATTCAGGTAGTTCTAGATTGTATTAAATAATACATGGCCGTACGCCCTACGCGCGCGTTTGAGTGCGCTAATGACACGCTTTAACGTCTTCCGTATTTGTGAAATGCGCGTCATACTTTTTTACACCATTCAACTCGTGCCAGAAAGAGAATTACGTTAGTGGACGCTGACATGTCGGAATAAATACAGACATCACAGCTTCTTGTTAAATAAAAACCATCGGTTAAGGAATTATTCCCTGAAGATCGTCTGTTAAGCCACTATTTTGGTATTTGCCACTATTTTGGTACCGTGTCAATAATGAGCGACCTAGGAGGTGGCAGTAAAGCCTATTGAATACTAGTAATGAGCAAGCGGACAATAACTACTGCGACAATAAAGACCGCCACTAGTAACAAAAAAACTTGCAGCTTGTTTGGACATTGGTGGA